CTGAGGGGTATAGGAGAGCTGGGGTCAGAGGGGAAAGAGAAAGTTCCCTCATCTGGAGTCCATGTGCAGAGAACATGTTAGGAACTTATATTTTTGACCCCTGTAATCTTCACTACAACAGCCTGAGATGGACACTACTATCCCCATCCAAGAGATGAGAAACTAAGACTCAGAAAGACAGAGAAGCCAGCCTGAGAAACACAAATAGAAAACATGCTCAAACTAAGTTTATCTAATTCTAAAGACTGAACTCCTTCCAGGACTCTTCCATGTAAAGAATAGGGAGCAAACACACCAAGAGGTTAACCCTAAAAACGCAGTGGTTTGAAATCTACTGAGCTGCTGTGCCACAGGCCAGGGAGTCATTCCTCGGTGTAGCCCTGGCCCTGCCACTGTCTGCCTAGCTGACTCTGGGTAAGTTAGTCTCCTCTTGAGCCTTCATCTGAGAGAAAGAGACATTGTCCACCCCCTCTCCCAGCATCAATTCTACCAACTTTTCCTAGATCCTATCAGTACCCTGATGCTTAGAAGCCAATAGTTTTCTGGGAGGAAATATACTATTTTATTGCTGTTAAAGAATGATACTCAGGGTAAAATTCTAATATAAATCTAAGGAAAGTGAATAAGTTTCTTTACAGGAAATTCTAGAAAAATAAGGAAATAATGTTTAACTGTGATCTCCAAAGGAAGAGGACCAAAAAAGCTAATAATGAACAAGTTACCATACTGCAGAGCCTAAGTTGGCCCTGTACCCATAACAGCCTCATCCTGATAAGTAGAAGTATTATTGTCACACACACACACTACCATTTAAGATGAGGCTCAATGAGAGTAAATAACCCAGTTCTCTTTCTACACCACAGATAAGTAGAGTTAGAATAAAAACTAGGTCTGTCAGGCCTCAAAGGTGCTGCTCTTCCCATCACACTAAGCTGCCAGGTGGCACTGACTGAGAAACTCCAAGCCCAGCCTGCAGAAACATCTGTGCATGCTCATCCTGGGACCCTTTCCTCTTCACAGTCTTCTACCAGGTATCCTAATGTAGGGATTACAAATAACAAGAACTGTGTCAACTGTTCTCCCCCTTTGATAGCAAGTAATGAACCTGAAAATATACATTCTCTTCCTCCAGTCCTCCATCAAATTGTACTCCTGGAATAGGAAATATTTGACAAGCTGTATGGGTATAGTGACACAATTCAATAAAAATGAAATGAAGAAAACAACTTTATTTCTCACTACTTTCATCCCTTATTTGAATTGTGAATACTCGAGTTACTTCTCATACATGACCTGCCTAGAAACTCATTTTGTGGTGAAATATGCCCCTGTGTGACTTGTATTTGAAACTGTCTGGCTTGCTTTCAAGAGGCAGGGCTAAAGAACAGGAAATATAGGTTTGTGAGAAATTCTAAAGGGCCTCTTAACTTTCTGTTTCACAATAGATGGCCCATGTTGTTAGGTGGACCATTTTAGGAAATAAAATATCTGTCCCAGGAACTATCCCTATCTAATCTTGCCAAAGAGGGCAAGGAGAACTCTTCAGCAATACCATTAATAATATGAGAAATGTACTTATGATACAATGTCAAATAACAACACAGGATGTAAAAGTGTATGCATAGTATGATTTCAAGCACAATTATCTTGCAAAGTCAGACCAGAAGGAAGTAGCCTAAATGTTGATAATTATTTTTGATTGATGGGATGATGCATGCTTTCGCTTTTCTAACTTTGAGTAATAAGCACAGATAGCTTTTTAAAAGTCCAATGTAAATGCTAACAGTTTTTTTCCCATTAAAAAAAAAAAGATGTACATATTTTTGGTGCCACCTTACAAACCAAAATTATATTAGATTATAAAGTTTGACTAATACTAGGCACAAAGAATGTTCAAGAACATGATGTTACATACCATGTCAATTTTATCAATGAATATAGATATCAAAATACTAAGCAAAATATCAACGAATCACATCCGCAGACTTTGAACAAGTGAGACTTAACCCAGAAATGAAGATTAGAACATTGATCAGTAAAATCCCACACAATACAAATGCAAAGAAGGAAAACACGTATACTCACTGAAGCAAGCAAAGAAAAAGCACATAAAATAACATGCAAATTTAGGTTAAGAAATACTTTCTAGGAAATGATAAATGAAAGGGAACTAGTAAAGAATCTTTAGCAAAAACTTAAACATCACATTTATAGCTAACTTAGAACATTAATTTAAGGGTAAGTTAAGGATATCTACTAACACTAAACATACTGACCGACCCAGAGAATGCAATAGAACAAGAAAAGGAATGAGTGTTAATAACTGGAGAGGAAGAGATAAAGTTAATTATAAGATTACATACTGCTCCACAGAAAAATCAATAAAGGAATTGGAGAAAGTATTATTTAAAGAGCTCAAAAATCCTATTATATTCAAGATTCAAGATCAGCATACAAACTGTTGATTTCCTTTTAAAGTTCTATTTATTTTAGACCAGTTTGCAACATTTGTTCAATGGAACACTGACTATTTCATTGTCAAAACTGAAGAACTAGAAATAAATTAATCTTGTTACCAGGATTCTGTCTTAGCTGCCTCTGTATGTGAGTGCTTTCATGTGGTCCAGACAAGTTGATTGAGAACAAAGATTGTTCATCAATTGCATAAGTAGAAACAATTGTAAAATCTTGCTCTGGCACAAATCAGCTATATACTTTTTAAGATTCCTTTGGCTCTAGAATGGGATAAAAGAAAACAATGTAATTATGATAAGGAGGAAGGACAGAAGGAAGAGGGAGTGGCAATAGGAGAAGATAAACAGAAAAAAGGAGGGAGAAGAGGGCAATGGATAAAGGACAGGGAAAGAAGGGGAGAGGTGTGGAGAAAAAGAGGAAAAAGGGGAAGGAGAAAGAGAAGAAACACAGATAAACTCTGTTGAGCTTTTAACACATGCCCAACTACACTAAGTACTTTATTTGTCTTATTTCAATTAAACTTTGTGGTGAGTCTATGAGGCTTGCAAATGTATCCTCATTTTTATAGCAGAGGATACTGAGAGGAGAAATTAAGGGAAATTAAGCTCAGAGAAGTTACGTTCTATAGTCACACAGATAGGAAGTGATATATCCAAAATTGAAACACAGGTCTGTCCATACTCCATTGATACTTAACCACACAGATTAGGACACACTCTTTATATGTGTATTGTGATGATTTTAAAGCTCAGAGGACACGAAGATGAGGAGGTTCTTAAAAAGGTCACCTCCACAGCTCCACTCCAAATGTTCAACTAAGCCAATGTTGCTGAAAACCTGCATCCTCTCTTTAGAATGCTTCTGGTCCTGCATGCTAAAATTAAGAATGAAAAGATATTCACTAAGACACAATTTTTAATGCATTAGGCATTCAAGAGCACAAATTTAGTGGAAAGGTTAAATCTGAAGCAAATATATAACTTGTCAAGTTCCACTGAAAAGCCATTTGAATTCTAGTACATACCAGACTCTACAATATTATTTTTTTCCAGGTAGCAGTTCTCACAAGACCTGTTCTTTCACCCACTTTCTTTTCCTATCATTCTTAGACCACCATGCATAAAAAACAAGGTTTACATTAAGTTTTAGGGAATAAAAACAGCCTGCTTCCAAAATATCCATGTTTCAAATGAACATCTACAGCAATATTTATAGTTTTTTGTGGGATTTTGGTTGTCAAAGAGCTGCTTATGTATTATGCTTATGTCCCTCACTTCCTATAGTGTCAACAAATGCCATCACAGAACATGACAGGGCAGGTGCTATGATATCTGGAACAAATCACTGTCTAGAGAAAGCAACCAAGGGCATCCCCATTTGCTAGCCCATATTGACAGATTTCAAGACCTGAAAGAAAGCTCCATTAATCCTCCTTCATGCAGCTAAGTAGACAGGAGAAGGAGTGAAGTGAAACCACAGGCAGACAACACACACACATGGGGTGGGGGAGAGAGGCAGACAGAGAGAGAGAGAGACAGAGAGAGATTGAGACTAAACATGAATGCAATACGTTCCTTATATCTAATTACAACAAGGGAACACATTTACTGAAAGGCATGGCTCTAAAGTTATAGGATCGAATTCTCCAGAAGAAAAGTGATAGAATTACTTTAATATCACACTATACGTGCCAGTCTTCATCACCTGGCCTCTATGTGGCTCCTCTGTGCCCAGTGCTTTCTAATTGTTGGATGTCCAAGGGTGAGAAAGAGGCCCGCTTCTGAAGTAGTATATTATTTAGTTGACAAACAAAAACACGGACCATTTTTAATAAAGTGAATGCTAACATTACTATTGAAGCAAAACAAACAGAAGCTGCTAACCCAATTTGGAGAATAAGGAAAGACTCCCCCAGGAGGGAGCACTAAGCTCCAACCTGAGGAATAAATAGGAGTCAAGCTGGAAAATATTGGAGAGTGACAAAAGGATTTCGGGCTGGATTAATCATAGTTCAGTGATTCTCAAAGTCTGGTCTCTGCACCAACAGCATAGCATCATCTGGGAACTTGTTATAAATGCAAAGTCTCAGGCTCCACCCCAGACCTACCGAACCAAAAATGCTGGCGATAAGATTCAGCAATCTTTGTCTTAACAGGCCTTGTAGGTGATGCTGTTGTGAGAGTTTGATTTTGATGTTTGAGAACCATTCAAAGGTGAACTCCAATACACAGAGCTGAATGGGAAGGTGGAGTTTAGGCAGAGAAATTGTTAGAGAGAAGACTAGCTTTGCACATTATGAAAAAAAAATTCGATTTTACCCAGAGATCCTAATGGAGAGTCACTGATATATAAACAAAACATAAACATAAACATATACACCCTCTCTATAACATTAAATGTTAACAGTATGAGTACAGGAAAAAAAATAAGGCTAGAAACATAAAATATATGCAAACACATCCATTGACATACCATTCCAGAGATAAGGATAAATAGCCATCAGAAAGGAAAAACTCTGGCCCTACCTTTCTTTCTGGAGTCTTTCTTGGTGCTGGTTTTCACAGCTACTTGAAGTTCTGTCTCAGTTGACATCCTACTAAATCCTTAGTCCACGTTACACAGATCCCGGGCCTCGGCCAGGCTCATCGAGGACTCCTCTCCAAGAGAACGATCCTCCCTTCAGAAATGACACCCAGAGCTGTGCATTTCATTCACTCCTTTCATGTGCTGCAAATCAAGAGAAGAAAAACATTCAGGATAATGCCCCTCTTGAAGTAAAACAGAAAAAAAATATCAGCTGGCTCTTATGATGTCCTTGAGCCGCTGGTGGGTTCACGTGGCAGAGAGGACAAGAGGACAGTCGGCACAACTGCTTCTCAAGCTGGGTAACTCAAGATGCATCTGGAACACTGGATTTTCAAGAAGGGCAAAATCTAACTCTGTTTTTCATGTTTCCTCTTTTCAAGTACTAGATGCCACCCAGGAAATGCAGCATATTTCCTGACCAGCCTTGTGGAGACATTTCCAACAACAGGGCACCCATCCATCAGCCAAGCTTGATCAGAGCCTTGGCAGCTAAAGCAGATCATAGGGAAGTGACCTGTAGTCTGTCCCTGACTGGCAGGCATCAGAGGGGACATGGAGTTGACATACAATTGGGCTCCAAGGGTAAGGTGACAAATGGGGCTGAGAAACTTTTCAGCAAGCCAATTTTTATGTCAGCTTTTCCCCCAGCTATAAGAGCAGACAAGCATTTAATGTGGGAAGAAAGAGAAAAGAAGCAGGCAGACACACACTTACTCATTCTTTCTTTAATAAATATGCATTGCACACTGCTAGGTACTATTAAGCTCAGACACTGTGCTGGGAAGAGATAATAATGATAATACAATCACTTCAATTATAGGCTGCATTTACTATGCACTTACTATATACTATGCCCTCAGTTACTGCTTCACATACATTATCTCATTGGATCTCATTTAAATGGAATGAATGTATTCTCTGTGTCAAGTCAACAGTCTTTCCCAGTGACTATCTACCTGAGAGCTACTTCTGAGAGTTCAGTTGAAAATAAATATCCTATTAGTTAGTCATTTTTAAAGAAAATTAAGATAAATGTACTGGAAATGGATCTTCAAACTGTGAAGCCAATTCTTAGCTCATCCCACAGATCTCAAACTGTTTAATCCAAAAAGCGAGACCATTTAAAATGCTAGTTTCCATTTTAAAAGAATAAGGAAAGAAATCTTTTAATCATGATGATTAAGGATTGCTTAAGTTGTGGATCTAATATAATGCAATAAAATAATAGGGTTAATAATGGGGAAATTCCCCAAAGATATATAGTTTTTTAAAAGCAAAATAAGTATTTTTTTAAAAGACCCTGGCTTGGGCCTCCCCTGCGGCACAGCAGTTGAGCACTGGGCTGCAAAGCTGCCCCCAGCCTCTGCAGCACTGGTTCAATTCCTGGCCGCCGGCAAGGGTCCCACATGGCGTGCAGACCTCTCCTGCCGTGCCTGCTGCTCCCCTCAGCAGTGTATTTCATCAGTCTGCCTGCTCTGCTCCCCGCTCTGGCTCTGGTGAACTCTCACATCCTCCCGCACTTCTGACTACACCCAGTGCTTGTATAAATAAATAAATTGATAAATAAATAAATATATATTATATAAATCTTTAAAAAAAAAAAAAAAGACCCTGGCTCTGAATAAAAATTACTTGAACCACTAAGAAAAACAGAAAACTATCTCCCTAGAATGTGGTCCATGAAATCACATGGAGGAAATGAGATATTCTCCTGCCACATTTGTGGGATCTATCTGCCACAAAGAACAACATTCCATGGGAGATTACAAAGTCAAAAAATTCAGTCTTATATGGAAATAATTTTAATAATATTATTTATCAGCTTCTTGCAACAAATATCTACAAGAATGTACCAGGCTTAAATACTTGCTGATTCATGATACCACTGAGACATTTATTATGCAACCACATAGCCAAGGGTACATAGTCAAAGTCAGATTCCTGGCCTTAAAGAAGCTCAGTATAGCAGAAGTGTCAGTGTTACAAGGGACTGCAATCCATATGACAGCAACAGAAATGGTTAATACTGGGGGCATTAAGGAACAGAGCTCATCTTTGCTTGGAAGAATCAACAAAGCTTCACAGAGGAGAGACTGAACACTGTGGACCATGAAGAATGCTGCTTCTGTAAGTGGGTGGTAAGGGAAACGTCCAGCAGGTAATCAATACATACATGTAGAATGAATGAATGAATGAATGCTTCAGGCAAAAGAACCAACATGGACAAAGGCAGAGAATCTTGAAATAGACAACCAAACTAAGAAAAGGAAGCAGAAGTCTAAGAAAGATGATATGCCTTCCTATCTTCCCAGTTTTCCCATGAACATTAACTTCCTACGGAATCTTTCTTCTCAAGCCTGCCTTAATAGCCTGTCCACCCCTTAAAATTCAGATTGAAGTGGTATCTCAGGCAGATGAATATTCTTTTCATTAAATGGAATCTTATTTCACTTGCAACCAAATTCAAAGTTTGATCCACTTACAAGCAATGTGATAACAAGAAAGTGATCCAGCCCCTCTTTGCCACAGTTTCCTTATCTGTAAAATGGGAATAACAGTATCTCCTTCATGGAAGTGCTGCAAAAATTAATGTAATTACATGACTGAAATAGTTCCTGGCATATCTGTGGGCAAGCACTTCACAAACACTAGACACTAATAGTTTCCTTTGCTGATTGCTCAAGGTCACATGGCTGGTTTGTGTCCCCAAGTCTGCATTATTAGCCTCCCTTTACAGAAGCAGAAAATGAAGCTTTCTAAAGACAAAATGCAGTAAGTGATAAAAGCTATTTCCATCATGCTGGTCTTGCATACAGTAGGTACCACAATTCCTAAATACAGTTAATATATGGATGAGTTAAATGAATTTAACTCCTAAATGAGTTAAATACATAGAATTTACACAATTTCAACCCTGCTTAAAAGTTAGTATATGAAAGTAGGTTGAATTTGGGCGATCTTCTTTCCTTTGATTTTGTAAACCACAGTATAGCACTGTCCCCTATTTTGTGGGTTTCCTCATTTGTTCAAAAAATGTGATTATATTCAAGTATTATAAGCATTACTTGAGAATTTCTCAAGTACATCCCTATAACAATATTTCTAATAAGAACTTAAATAAGGAAGCTGCAGTACGAGAGAATGTAGCATGCCCTGAACCCCCTCATCCCCTTTAATTTTCAAAAAACCAGAGGTTGAGCAAATGCTGTGAAGTAACTCCAAATTATTTAGGAAATTCGTTTCTTTGTAATTAAGGAGATTAAAGTCCTCAGGCCCAGAAACCATGTGACAACTCAAATCATTTTTCTCCAGTAAAAGCTGTGAAACCCTATCAGTTAAATTCAGGCTCGCCTAGAATTTTGAAATGCTTCAATAATGTTTCTTTGCTCCACACAATCTGCAGTAATTTAATATTCCTGAAGTGTGTCAGGTTTTTTATAATGAGCTCTTCAAATCTAAATGTGAATTATGTAACATTCCACTACAGACATTCTGTCTAGTGAACTGCTTCTAAATGTAAAATCCTGTGTTCAGTGTTGGGGGGTGGGTGCAAAAACACCAAAACACAAAGCAGAGAAAACAGATAGGCCTTAAAAAAAAAAAAAACAAAAAACATGAAGGTTTGAACAGCTCTAATTGAACAAACACACATTGAAATACCTGCTAGAACACAAATTGGTGTTCTCTCTCCCTACCTGCTCCTCTCCTCATATGACCCTACAGTAAAACAGGTAATATTTATAAAGGTCCAGTATTTATAAGGTGTTATAATATGAACGTTCCATGTGTTAACTAATTCAATCCTTCAATCACTTGAAGAGTCAGATACTATCTTCACTTAACAAATGAGGAAAGTGAAGCACAAGTTAGTTAAGGAGCTTATCCCACGGTCATATGGGAAACAAATTGCAGAGTACGGTATAAGTCAGTCTTCTTCACTCAAAACCCTCCCAGATGTCCACCAGGTGGTGAATGGATAAACAAAATGTGGTGCCTTCATACAGTGGAATGAAGTATTGCTACCTGCTACAAGGTGAATGGACCTCAAAAAACATCATTCCAAGCAGTTAAACACAAAAGGTTATAATACTGTATGATCCCAGATTTCTGAAAGATCCAAAACAGATAAATGCACAGACAAAGCAGGTCAGTGGTTTCCAGGTGCTAACTGACTTAAAACTTGGTTATGGATGTCAGTTCTTATTACAGATTCCAAATTCACCCGTATCTGCTCAGACTGCCTGAGTTGGCAGAAGTCTCTGGACCAAGGTTGTTAGGAGCAACACTTTCTTCCTCCATGACAGGAATTTGTCCACTAAGACTTCAACTACCTACCCCACAGAGCACTGCAAGCTCCTTCAACTACTCAGCCAAAGTCAGCCTCTCCTGGATCATCTCCCTCTCCATACCTGGAACTCTGGTTTCAACCTGTCAATTTTTATTTTTTTTTCAATGTGTCAAGGGTTATCTGATTTGATCTAGGCCATTTGAAAAATGCCTACAACTCCCTCATTCTGCACATTTGTTCTTTTTAGACATAAGAAAAGAGGAGAGTGGGGTTTTGCTTGAACTCAATGGCAGTATTCACTAAAAGCTGCTGGGGTGTCAGAAGTGCAAGGGGTTTTAGCAGAAAGGCATTCAGAGATAGTCTCTCTCTCTACTGATAAAGCATTACCATTCTCAAAGCACACACAGAGCCATCACTTGTTTTAACCAAACCCTCAAGAAAAATGATGTATTGATCATACATACTCTTGACTTTAAAAGTCTGAGGGTCACACACCTAACAGACCAGCTAACTGTGGACTCAATCAAGGCTATTTTGCAACCACATATATCAAAAAAAGGGGAGAAAAACCACAGAGGTAGGGGATACCTCTTGACCTCAAACCTCATCTTCATTCATTATGCCATCTTGTTCCTTATATTTACCTGATGTTGAGAAATAAATAAACCAAGTAAATAAGAATTTCAGGCAGTGTATGGAAAGTTTAATAGAATGTCATTCTGTAAGACAAGAAAGAGAAATGAGCAAAACTGGAGTGAAGGGGAACAAAGGATTAGAAATGAAGGTGAAGGAAAGATGCAAGAATAGGGAACCAAAAGAAATCTGTACATTTGCATGAGATATAAATCTGGCT